ATAATTATGTCCCTTCAAAAGAGACATAATTGATCTGTGAAATTTTATATGCTAAATAGTTTAGGGACCCATCCTTAACCATAAGTAAATAAAAAAATGATGTTTATCTATCAGAAAAAAAACAAATTAAACAAAAGATAATGTTTTTTCAAGATGAATATCATGTGCTATACAAATAAAAAATTGAAGAAATAAAGAAATAGTGTTTATCTATTATTAAAATAATAAAATAATAAAGAAATAGTATTTATCTATTATTAAAATAATAATAATATTTGAAATCCATAAAATTTACAAATATAAATATTAAAAATAAATAAAAAAACAATATACTGTATATCATTATTTATCATTTCATTACTATTTTTTTCATTAACAGGGGCAAAATATATTTTGATAAAATTTTTTTTTTAAAAAAATGTAAAGTTGTATCACGTAAAAAAAAGAAATTAAAGTCATTCGATTATTTTGATAAATTGATTTTTTAAAAAATTAAAAAAATTTATCAGACCATGTGCATATTTATTTTAATTGTTTCCTGTAAAATAAATAATAGTGATAATAATTAATGTAGGAAAAAACTATTGATATTTATAAACATATACAACATTTGAATTATTAATTGTAAAGTTATGAGCAATTTATTGTATTTAGTTAAACTACCCCAACATGTTACAAATGTTGGATCACGTAATTTTTTAAAAATAAATTATTTTCCACACTAATTCAAAGATTCTACGAATTTTACGCAACAAAAATAATCAAACATCAAATTGACTAAAGAAAAATAGCATACATGTTGTAATTCGAAATAAAAAGAACTGAATCTCAAGTGTTACCAACTCTCGTTCTGAGTATGCTAATGATGTTATCGTAATTTAAATTTAAGCAACCATTACGAAGCAATTCATCATGGGTCGGTGGATTTACGTTCCTAGCTTTTACCAGGTCTAAATGCAATTTTTCTAAAAACCAGCACATAAGGTCGTTAAAATGACTTGTGCAGTGAGGTTCAAATTTCCAATCTGAATGGGATTCAGCTTTCACTTGAGCCCACTTTCGCTTATTCGTCCCGTCAATATTAGAAAAAATATCATCGTCTTTCCATTTATGACATTGCACTGCAATAAGGTTACGCGTAATTGCATAACCCATTCCCGTAAGACCTTCGGGTTGATGACTAGTGTGATGCAATTTTGTTACGTCACTATTTAAATGATGATCCCGAGAACCCCAGCAAAGAGCCCCACATCTATGACATGCTTCCGTACACCCAAGCCTTTCCATCACCGATTTATTTTTGGACGGCTCTTGGAAAGGCTCTTGTTTCGGATAACGGTCATTCCCTTTGGTTCTAAGCTCTTCCTCAACCGTGCGATGAAATATTTTAAAATCTTCTTTGGTGAACGAGCTATGAAAATTTAATTTGTAGTCTATGTTATCAACTTGTGTCATATAATCATTTACAAACCTTTTGATTTCATCAAAACTTTTACAGTTTCGAATATCTTGAAAAACTCGATGAAATTCACTATTAAAAGTTTCATCAAATTTTTGTTGTGGATTTCCTACTGCATAGTTATCAACCGTACTTTTAAACCAATTTTCTATGCATCGTTTTGGGCCCAAAAAATATTGCATAGCTTCTTTTTTATCACCGTTTTGAACTTGTTCGCCCAGTTTCTCAAAGTACTTAAGTCTAATTAACTCGGCGCAAGTCAACCAAGGAATATCACGTACCGCTACTACTCGTTCATTATTGCCTGCATTCATTGCCTTTTTATTAATAACTCTCAATAAATAATCTCCGCAGATATGACCCTCGGAAACTAGTGTATGACCGTATCGAAGCCGAGTATCAATTACTTTAAAATATTCCTCATTCTTCTGATCAAAAATTCCAAGCGGAGTATTTTCTTTGTTCCATGTTTTCTGTAATTCCACAATTACCGGCTTGAAGTTTAATAAGGCATATAGGTGAACATTCCACTTGAAATCTGGTAAAAAATTTACAAAAAGTGCCTTTGAAAAATCAGAGAGGATTTTGTCTACGTTCATCTTGGCGTCACGCATAATTCCGGTGTAAAAATGTCGAGAGCCCCTATGTGCAAAGATTAAATCTACTAAATTATCAAGTTTCTCCATAAGTGCAATGACATGCCCATCCAGTAAACATCTTAGTGAAATATGATACTTTTTATATGCAGGACACTCGAAGAGATTCGGAAGAATTCCATATTCGTACTTTTCACGAAGATATTGCGGCATTAACTCATACACGGACTCAAACTCCTTATCTATACATTCTGTCACAGGTATAACGTTATTCTTTGATATTATATAATTTCTCAATAAGTCCCATATCTCTTTAACTTTTTGTTCGCGTTGATGGCTAGATAATCCTCCGCTCGGCATACTTCTTAACATCACTTCTAATTGTTTGTTTATAATTTCGAAAGAATCAGATGAAATTCCTTTTCGAATGAAACCAGCCTCGAGCATTTGATTAAGTTTGATGGTCGAAGATTCACGATTAAGTTTGACGTAATTCTCAATTGTTTGCTTAGTTTCCATTTCACATTTCTCGTTATTTTTATTCTCAAGATATTCTTCCAATTCAACTCTTTCTTTTTTTGCTTTTTCGCATTCTGTACAGTTGGAATTTCCGCAATCCGTAGCATCTTTCACCCCCTTTTCGATCAGCTCCAAACATTTCTCACGGATGAGTAAATTTACGTTTGAATTATCATCTGCATTCCAATCCTGAAGTTCCGAGCGAATTTTTTGCATGATCAATTCCTCATGTTTTAGGAACGCTCTATCAATGATCTCTTTCAATTTTGTGATTTGTTTACCAAGATCAATGAATTCATAAATTTCTCTGATATTTTTGAAACGAACTGCAAAGTCCTCGTGAGAGATTGCGCTCCAGTAATTTTGTGTCAACGAATACCAATCTAAAAATTTGATTTTCCTTTGTGAATTCTTGCAATCGTCAATTATAGAATTGTACAAATTGACAACATCCTCGTGATATTGCTCTGAAGGTGGAGCATAAGCAGTTGCGCCATTTTTAAATGGTCGAAACTGTTTAAGAAGTTGACCTTTTTTGATTCTTTCATCAAGAATTTGTAGGCATTCCGTATTAGATATTCCCATTTCAATGTCTTGTTCTTCAGCTATTTTCAAAGCCTCTTGAAGGGCACCTCGAAACTTTTCTTCTGGTTCTGACAGTTTTGATGCGTTTCGTTCAGAAATATGTTGCACCATGAGTATATCCGGAGCTATACCGGCCTTTTCGAGGCGTGCCATCGTTACAATTGCTATCTGTAAAATCTCGGTCAAATCTCGCATCGATTCTCCAAGTACGTTAAGAATTGTTAAATTGCTCACGCCCATTGCAAAAGTTGCTAGTATTCGATCTTTTTTTTCCGAATCTGGATCATCCATCTTTTCTGGCGCACCAAGACCTTCAGTATCAATCAGGATAATTGCGTCAATATTAAGTTGATCGGACAAGTCTTTCTCCAAGAACAGTAGTCGCATAAAAAGACCTCGAGTACAACGTCCAACAGAAACAGCGAATCTACATGCAAAAAGAACGTTCAACAAAGTAGATTTTCCCGATGATTGTAAGCCAAGAATACTGATCACGAAAACTCGAAGATCGGGAAATTTATTACTAACATGCCCACAAATAGCTGAGAACCAAGCTTCACTTATAGTTCCAGCATCACCATCAAGTAATTCTATGGTGTGACCACTAATTAGTAATTCGGCATAATATTCCGGTATTCTCAACCCAATTTCGTTGCTTGGATCATTGACCAAAAAAATTTTATACAATTGACCTAACTCCCGGAAAAAGTGCTCCATGCCTAAACTCATACTATCAACTTCCGCCCAAATTTGTGCTATTTCTTCTCGAATTTTTTTCTCATTTTCTTGATTCCTATTGACCAGGTCAGATTTACGTAGCTCTTCTCTTTTCAATGCAGCCTGATTTCGAGCTTCCGAGGATTCTAACATCGAAAGCCTAGTCACTTCTCTTTCAAGATGCGCTAAGGCTCGCCTTCTTTTGCCGAGAGGTAATTTTAATATATTTATGTATAAATGTACCAACAGTTGCAATTCTGTATTGTTCTGCCATATTTGCATCCCATTATCCAACTGCTTTCTCTGAAGTTGCATAACCTCTAGCTTAACGTGACGACAAGTTTTCTCTTCGACAAAATTTATCAAATACTGAGATTCAGTAAGCTCAATGCCCTCGGTTAATTGAAGTGATCTTCCCAGTTTTAACTCTTCAGCGCTGAAAAATGAACTATCGAAACTTAAGGCTTCTTTGAACATTGTTCGAACTTTTTTTAACGTTTTATCCTTCATTAAAGATTTGGTATCAATTGTATATTTCTTTTTATCTGGAAAATTTCGATGGTTTACACAACCATATACCACTTTTTCGGGATTAACTATGGCTTCGAATTCTGAAATTTGATTTTCGGTGCATCCGGGCATTAAGAAAACCAAAAAGCTAGAAGGAAATTGATTTAAGTACTCAATTTGATCCGGATAATCTAAGGCGTCCCCATGTAAATTTGCGAGTAATACAATTTCTTTTGACTCTCCCTTATAAAAATTTTCGAAAACATCGTTCCATAGACTCGCACCACAAGTTTCTTGGGTCAACCAAGTAAACTCGACACTTCCGCTGATCATATGTGGAACCCCATATTCCGCTCTTGGTTCGGAGCATGAAGAGAACATAAAGTTTGAAGCCATCAACTGATTGAGAATAGTGCTTTTGCCTTGGGAATTCGTTCCAATCCGAATGGCAACAATCAACTTAAATGGATCGTTGAAAAGGTGATTTTCAATTATTGTTCCGGGACTTGTTTCCCATTTGATAACCGGTCCAGTAAACAAAGGAATCATAACTTTAAACTCTTTTTCTCTGCTTAATTTAGGCATTATCAAGGGAAATGCAATTGGAAATTGAGATAAGGTCCGAAAGATATCCTGGGCTACGGTACACTCGGCAGATGCGAATAAACTAGTGATGCAATCAAACCGAGACAATATGTTTTTTTGATCTTTGAAATCATCTGTTTCATCCGTATCAGAAGTGTCCGAAGCATCGTCATCTTCATCGACCAAAATTTTGATACTTTCTGCTTTAAGAACTTGAGCCCCCCACATCTTTACTTTCTGTCGAATGTATGGAAGAACTGCAGCTACACCTCTATCTATTTCATTAACCGATAACTTTGGAGGATGAAGAATTTTACTGAGCTTAACATAATGATAGGGTTCGATCAAAGGTATTTCTTCACCTAGGATTGAATGCCATTTTTCGTGTATCGTTATCACTTTATTATCAACCATAACAGAATGAAAATAGGATTTTGCGTAAACCTTGGTGGAAAGACTGGATTATATATACTGTACGATCTAAACAGAAATCGGCTCAAATTTGGTTTTACACAAGCGGCAACAGTATTGTTATGGACTGAGTCAAAAAAAGCACCTAGCTTGTTACTAATTACAACTGATAAAGAGTTATAAATATTTACACATCACAAGATTATCTCTATCTTTACCAAATTAGTCGAAGTATAACAAGGGCGTTACTATAATGTAGGCACAAGATAAGCAATCAAGTTTTATTTGTCCCATACCACATTTCATATTTTCTTCCCAAGAAATCTGTTAATATAATGTCGCCCTCTAAGCAGGAAGTATAATGTCAGATTATATTATATTTCTGGAAGAAGAACATATGTAAGGTTAGTGAAATTTAGCTTTGGACTGGTATTCCAATTGCAATATATAAAAATCTTAAGAAATTAAAAACCCAGGGAGAAATCAAATATAAAAAAGATAATGAGTGACCAAAAAAGATTATCAGTAATATTTCAAAATTATTGGGATAATATCTTTGATAAAATTCTACACTTTTATATATATCACAAACAGGTATTAAATGTAAGACTTTATTTAAATAAAGCATTTGCTGTTAAATTAATTATAACATATTACAACAGATTTACTGATGCCAGGTACCACCGTGGGGGTGGGCGTATAACAGTAATACTGAATGACCAATGATTATTCAGAACAATGAGATTATTGCTGGGGTTGCTGGGGTGAAAATATGTTTATCAGTATGGTTGTGTAGAAAATTTAGTAAGATTAAGATTTTGTTTAAAGTTGAATTGTCGTTTTTAGTTGTAAGTGTGGAGTCGGCAGATTTAGTTTTTTTTTATTTAATTCCAGAGGCTAGCGACTAGTGTTCCGAATAGGTCGGGTCAACTCGTTATATTTTCAGTCTGAGTTTTAAAAAAATAACATCTGAAGCATAGTCGCAATTTTCTAAATAAGGAAATATCAGTTTTATGTGCGAAATATACAGTATACCAAGGTACAGTATTTCGTATTCTGACAATTCTGACGTTGATCTTGTTTACCTTGATTCTGTAAACTTAATTGGTGCCTTCTAGGTTCACATATTTAAAAACATTTATTTCTTTTCCTTAACCATTTATACAATTGATGTGCTCTTTTATAAGTTATTCTTTTTCCTTTTTTGCTTGAGTCCGGTTTCGACAATCATAAGATCATGATTCATGAATTTTCAAACTCGGAAATTTGATGTCAAGCAGTAAAACGAACAAAATGGATAATTTTAGTGATTTTATTATTGTCGTGGGCATGATCGGCGAATCTGTCGCTAGTACTATCGTCTCCGCGTAACATTGGTAGAAAGTAAGTATCGTTTAATTAACCCCTTGAGGTGTATAACGATTTGGTCAATTCTCTTCTGCTTATTAACTTTAACACTATAGTTGAACTCTACTAGTCGCTAGGACTCTTCCAATTCTCCTAGTCAAACTTTAGTTTGTTTAGTCACGTGAGCAAGTTATCAACCTTGGTGGAAAGACTAGATTATATATACGGTACGATCTAAACAGAAATAGGCTCAAATTTGAATTTACACAAGTGGCAACAGTATTGTTACGGACTGAGTCAAAAAAAGCACCTAGCTTGTTAATTACAACTGATAAAGAGTTAGCTATGCGCGATTCTCAATTAGTAGGCATCGAATTTATTTTACTCACTTAATTGACCACAGCCAAGTGCAGTAATACAGTCATGATCTTGGTAATTTAAAATCAAATGACTAATATATAACACGACACGTTAAACAATAGATATAAGTATATTATTGTATAGTGTCGCGGTCAATCGGCGAATCTGTTGCTAAAAGGCAGAGATTCGCATAACCGTGATTTAGAGTTTGATTTAGTGTGAGGTAAGGCGTGTAAGTTTGGTCGAGAACTTTATTAAACTTGAGTCTTCTTACTTTATTAAAGTTTTAGTGCTTCTATACTGTTGGTGTTATTTCGGCGAGTCGGTCGTTAACTTAGGGCCAAACTCGCGTAACGTCCAGGTAAGTTGGATAGCAAAAGGCATGTAGAGTTGATTTTAATCAAAAAACTTTCTTTCACAACAAATTTCTCTTTTCTCTCTTTTCTTACTTCTTCTTAATGGCAACTTGAATTAATATTATCCTTAAAAAGGTAAGTTTAATTAATTTAGATAATGTCGGACCTTTGCTAATTAAAGAGTGTCTTTTATTAGATAGGAGACAAATGATACTGTGCAACAATATACAGTATATTTACCATTATTTTCTTTATCTCTTTGTTTCTATTATTTTTTTATCTTTATTGTTAATAAATAAACAGTTACTAAAAATAAACTATTGTTATGTTATTGAAAATCATGTCGCCTAGTTATAACTGTTTGTTTTTTACACCATCGATACTTTTTACTTGATAGATTATTCCATAGTATAAAAAAAGATTTTAGTAATGATATATAATAAAAAAACAATATTAAATATTAAATACTATGAAAAGATATAATTTTTAATTACATAATTTATTTTTCATCTTATTATTAATTATTTTAATAAAAGAAAAGAATTGTAAATTTGATTATTATATACATTCCCCTGCATATTTATTAATTACATGAGTATAGTTGTATTCTTGTTTTTTTTTTACAATATTATTGAAATACATTTAAATATCAAATTTCATCAATTTTAAAATAAATAAAATATATTAACCAAAAAGAAATATACAATAGTAATATTTTAAAAATTCAAAATCTTGATAATTTATTATAATATTTAAATTAAATAAAAAACATTTAACATAATAAACTAAAAAAATAATATATCAGATATCAAATAACTACGATTTTTTATTAAATAGTTATTTAATCTTATAAAAGTTATTGTTCCAATATATAACATATACCATGTATTTATTGATTTGTATTGATCAACTTAAAATAATTTAATTATATATTGTATAAAATATTTATAATTTCTGATAAATATTTATCTTATTCATTCATTATTAAATTTTTAAAAAAATTCTATAGCATGAGACTAATTTACTATACTTTATAATTATTTTATATATTAATGTTGTATATTTGAAAAAAACATATGATTTAAATTTTATTTGAAAAAAGTATATAAAAAAATAAAAAGTAAAGAATCAGAGTAGTAAAAATATAAATATTATGTATTCTTATGTTGATAAGATTTTTTAAAAAAATCAATAATTTTATTTAGTAAATATAAGCTTAATTGAAATAAACAATATTTAAAAAATATTATTTGTAAATAATAATTATAATAAATTTTTTATATATTGGTAATTAGAATACTCGAAAAACCATCTTTTTTCAAAGAGCATTGCCTTAAAAATAATTATTTTCAAAAACTTTTATTAAAGTTTTTTTAAAAATATTTTATTTTTTTTATTATTTAAAATTTGATTGATATAATATAAATATATTCATAAATAATTTTTATTAATTTTTTTTATTAATGAAAACAAATAAAAATAATATTAAATAAAATAATATTAAATAAAATAATATTAAATAAAATAATTTTGTGCATTTATTTTATTATAAAACATTTTAAAAAATAAATATTTATAATATATTCACTTGTACTTTAAAAATAAGATAAAATTTAATTCGTATAAATTATATATAATATGATTATTTAAATATTAACGAAAATAAATATTTACAGTGTATTAAATTAAATCATTACTAAGAGTGATTACGTTTGCCTAAAAAAATAAAATTATTATCGATTAATCAAGCTATTTAAAATTTTAAAAATTAATAATAATTATTATCTAAATTAATGTATAGTATATTTGTGAATGTGAACAATTACACGATATAATAGAATTAAATTAATACAAAATTCCTTAATTCTTTAAAAAGAAATGTTTGAAACTTGTAAATGTCAAATTATTTATTTGTTAAAAATAATTTTCTTGGTGCAAGTATTTTATATGATAGCCATTAGGCAATTAAAGTCGATATTCTTAAACATGTTTCTTTGGTCTTTGTGGTTGCTCAAGTATTCTTTATTAGGCATTACAACTACTAATGTAGTTCAAGTTTGGTAGAGTAATTACAAAAAAAAAAAGAAGCAATTGTTTAACGTCTTTTGATATCAAGAATGAGACGTACATTTCAAAAGATTATGAATATAGTGAATTTCCAACATTAATTTCGATGTAATGAAAAGTATTGGCCGACCTTCGTTAGGAAGTGAAGCGAACTTCAGAACCTAATGACAGTAAATTAAATAAGCGTGGCGCATTTAATATGAGGTATAAGAACGCATGAATTAAGAAACTCACCATTTCAATCAGTGTATGAATCTACAACGTATTTTTTTTTATACTTTTTCATAATCTTCACTAAACGCGAGTTATCAGAATTAAAAAGTCTCATTGAGAGCCCATCAATCGACTTTTTTAAGCAGGATTCAAGAAAACTATCCAATGCCTTAGGTGAATATTTAAATCGCTGAGGAATCGTCAAAACTCCTAAATTTTTTGGAATAAACTCCCCGCTCTCTTGTAATGATGAACTAATATCACAGAAGTCATATGAGTCGTCCAAGATTATTACACTGTTAAGATGAGGGCATTGTCTGAATAAATCGCTCAAGCGTGTAATCGCAAAGAATCCGCGATAATAAGATAACTCTGGACAACATTTTGCAACCTCAGAACTATATTCCAGGAGGGCGTCGGAGTCGATGTCTCGCGCGTAAGACACAACATCAATTGTTTTAAGTGAACCATAAGTATTTCGGATGAATTTTGAAAGATGAGGAAGCGATTTGTCGGTCGGGGGAAGATCTTGATCCATTGAAAAAAAATGAAATCGATCATCTCTTTTGTCCGAATTAAGGAAGAAATGTTCAAGTTTCGGGAAACTTGAATTTAGCAATTGTAACATTCCGTCCTCCATATTATGATTAGTAACGTCCAGATATTGAAGGTTAGAACAGTTGACAAAAGCGTCCATCGAAATGCAAGATGCGGGAACACGCAAATGTGTAAGGTTTTGACCATTATCCCTCAGTGCTTCTTGAGTAAGTGGCATCTTATGATGGTAACCGTGAACAGATAATCTACGCAAGTTTGTTTGTGCTTTAATAACAGCCTCCCATACTTGATCATATGTATCGCTACTAGTAATTACAAGTTCCTCAATTTTGTGACAAATGTCAGCAAACCTAATTAAAGATTTGGCGGTCTCAGGTTTAAATGCCCTAACGTCAGACGTAAGCCGTAAGCTAGTAAGGTTTCTTAAAAAGTCTTGGGCGCTTGATGAATCTTTGTTTTCTGCGAAAATCAATAATCCAACTTTGTCTATTTGATCAACCTCCATGCCTTTGATAATTAGGTGCTTTATACTAGCTTTATTGACAAAATTTTTCATAAGAGCCGCAAGGACCATTAAAAAACCGCGTGAGTCTTCACTTATCGTATAGAGATTCTTTTTTTGACTGAGTAACCAAGCGCTCAATGAAAGGTACATTTTAGCCCAATCAAGCCTTTTCAACATTGCTGGGTAATCAAAAATTGGCGGCTTTGTCGAAACAGAATCCATTTGAATCCCTCGTTTCGCGATACGCACCCTGCTTACTTCAGGCAAACATTGCAAGTAAATCGCAATGAGTGAGGAATGTTGCTTCATATCTTTTATAAAAATAAAGGGATCTCTCCATAAAATTTGAGAAGCTGCTCGGTGCCATTCATGGTTCACTAACATATATGAAAGTAAATCGTGTGCACTACAGTACTTTAAATTCCGAGAGTCGTCAATTAACTCCTCGAATATTTGAATAAGTGTTTCCTGCGGAAAGGCAACCATGGTCAAAAGTTTTTTATAAATGTACGTGCGTGGGTACGCGTTTATAACAATATTTGCGCACTCATTCATGATTGGTGAATTTTAGAATTTTATGATCTACTGGATATGACTCAATTAATATTTCATTTTGATTAGAATCACAACAATTAGACAAGGTTTTTAAATATCGATGCATAAATAAACACTTTTTATTACATCGATTATTATATTAGATATTACATTGATACACTTCTTGTCAAAAGTAAAATTATTTAATAAATTTTAATAATTATTTTATTTTATTTTGACAATTTGACAAACAAGAAATTTATTAAACTTAAATGCTTATCATGTTTTTACAAAGTAAATTAATCAGAATTTGTCAAATTAAAGATAACACGTGAAATTTTAATATTCAAGATGATACTTTTAATTATATATTAATTATACATACAGTATATGTTTATTAAGTAATATTAATAAAATAATTTTATTTATTTTTTTATTATAAAAAGACATTAAATATAAGATTTTATTAAGAATTTAAAGTTTATAATCATGGTATTAATTAATTAATATTATCAAATAATATCAAATAAATAGGTTTATATTATTAAAAAAAGTACAAATAACAATATATTTAATAATAACTGTAATAATAAACTATAGGTAATAATCTTTAGAATCAAATTCTATAAGTAAGTAAATATTAAAGAGAAAAACTTTTTTTATCTTCAAAGTCATGTTTAAAAACATTAGTCAAAGACAGGTGTTCAAGGCAATAAAATAGTTTATGCAATACAATATATTATATATTATATGTTTTCTATAAATATTTAATAAATAATACAGTATGTGACAAAAAAATTTGTACTTTATATCAATTTTTATTTTTGTAATATTTTAATAACTAATTGATAAAATAAGATTAAAATCTATATTAATATATTTAAGACAAGTTTACTTAATAAAGTTTTTAAAATATATTATTAAAATTTTCTTAAAATTTAATTTTTAAAAAAATTTTTTTTAAAAATAATTGATTTTAGTTATATTACAAAATAGAAATAATAAAAATTATTAAAATTATTTTAATTTATAGATTTGTTAAATAAAAATAATAATAATAATTATATAATGATTATTATTTTTTATTAAGTACAAAAATTATTTAATAATTGACTTAACTTAAAATTTAGTCAAATTTTATATTAAAAAAAAAAAATAAAGTTTTAAAGATTTTAAAGAATTTTTAAAAAAAATTTTATATAATAAAAAACAAAATCAATTATAATAACATTTATTAATATAATAATAAATCTCTTATAATTTTTTTATAAGCTTAAAATTTTTATTTATTTTTATATTTAATTTTTTTAAAAAAATTTTTATAGTAAAATTTTAATTTTCATTCATATTTTATATGTGAATTTATATATAAATTTATAATAAATTTTTTTTTTGACTTTAAATCAATATTTTTAAATAAATTTATTAATTAGGCATTAATAAAACTTTGATATTATATTATTTAAATTTTTAAAAAAATATATTTAAAATTTTATATTAATTGAATTATTATTTATTAAATTATAATAATAATAATAATAATAATAAGTTTTTTTATCACATATTGTATATACTTGTTTGACTATAGAAAAAAAAACAATATATTTAATAATTTGTTAAAAATAAAATTATTTCTTATTATAATAAAAAAAAATATAAATATATTTTGAATTTTTTTATTTAATAATTAAAAAATAACAATTATAATAATAATAAACAAATTTTTAAATTATAAATCTTTTTTAAATTTTATTAATAATATTTATTTTATTTTTAATATATAGTCTAATACAAAGTTTTTGAATTAATTTTAGTTTTTAATTTTATTTATAAATTAATAATTAATTAATTTTTTTTAACGACTGGTATACACCTTGTTTATTGAATATTGTATTGAGTACTCTTACATTTTGTACCGAAATTGAACTCTATCTATTCTCTAAACTACTTAAGATAGCAAATTACCTACCAGTTAGCTTGTTGGCTTCCATGCTTCCCAAAGCCCTAATAGCATAGGTGAAGAACTAACTTGCTAAGATGTATACCTTTAAGTTCTTATCTGCTATCTGATGAACAGGAACTTAAAAGACCACCTGAATATAGTTAGCTAAAAACTAATTATATTCCATTAATTCTAACTAGATCTAAAAAAAATTTTTAAAAAGTAAAATAGGATACATGTGCATATTTACATGTGAGTATCTACAGTGTGGATCAAAAATAATTGGACTGATTTTTTTTATTATAATTCAAAAAATAATAATTTAATTAAGATAAAACTTTAAATATAT